CCTAGGATGGCTCTCAGGGTCCCATTATACTGGCCAGTGTGGAGGGCTGCGAAGACCTTTTCTTTATCAGCATTTACAAGATTAGAAGTTAATTTTAGAGATTAAAAAATATTAATTTAAAAGTAACAAACCCATTATGTTAATACAGATTTTTTTTTGCATGCAACCTAACTTTATTTTCAAAAACAACAAAAAATTTAATAATGAGAGATATGTTTTACATTTTTACAGATCTCTTTAATATGTGGCTTACTTGAAGACCATAGATTCCCAGGTCTGATTTATATTTTGGTTGAAGTATTATTGAAGAAAATGTGCTTCATACATATAAGCAGTTGGAAAAGGAAGAATGTTTTAATAGAATAGTCTTTTTATATAATTGTGGATACTCTTTGATTTTACACCAAAAGTCCAATAGTTGTTATTGGTTAGTTGCAATGTGGACTCTGAAATCCTGCCAGTGAACTTGTAGTTCTCTGTCATCATAATGAAATCCATTAGTTTTGCCTGCACTTTGAGTGCGTACTTAGTCTTTTATCCATATGTACTTTTGTCCCTACAGACCCCTGAATTCCCAAGGGTCCCTGGATCATATGCTGAGAATCACCACTCTAGGGTATATACATAAGAAGCTAATTGCTACTTTGAAAGTTATGGGCATTTTAAACCTGGCCAAACGGTTTGGCACTGCTGTCCTCTTAAGTGGTTATTCCAATTTATGTTCCCACCAGCAGTTTAGGGGAGTTCCATGTGCCCCATAACTTCAACAACACTAGTTATCAACAGTGTAGTTTTTGCTGGCTTGGTTGGTATAAGAAAGGCAACTTTACATCTTTTGTGTCTACTTCTCTTAGATTCTATTTATCCAACTATTTCTTTTCTGTCAGTTGACATATTCCTTAAGAATATCTTTCTCGGGGTGCCTGGGTGGCACAGTTGGTTGAAAGTCCGACTTTTACTCAGGTCATGATCTCACAGTTTGTGAGTTTGAGCCTTGCGTCAGGTTCTGCGCTGACAGCTTAGAGCCTGGAACCTGCTTCAGATTCTGTGTCTCTGCCTCTCCCCTGCTTGCTTGCTCGCTCTCTCTCTCAAAATAAACAAAAATTAAATTTTAAAAAATATTTTAAAAAAAAGAGTATCTTTTTCTCCTAGTCATTACTTCAGAAATTTCAACATCCATGCTTAATAAGTTTTACAGGTAATCAGTGTCTTTAGCATCCTCCAGAAAATTACAGGGACCTCAGAATACTTTAACTCAATCACCTACTCCCTGACTTAGATACAATTATTTTTCAAAAATTTGGCTTTTTCTTTTTATTGACATTCAAATTAGTATCACTTTTGTATAGTTCCCTTAAAGATTGCAGAAAGAATTTGTGAAGACAGATTCTAGAAGTTGCTAGAGAATGTTGCAGTATACTTTAAATATTATGTATTTTTCTATGCTTTCAAATAGTATCAAATTAAAAATGTAAATTTGTGCTATTTACCTCTTAAAACCATAATTAAATTTAATAGGATTGGAAAGATTAATTTCTTGAACAGCAGTTTGGTGAATGTATATTATGCCAAAGTCTAATTTTATTTTGACCTTGAGTCAAATTAAGGTTTTATTATTGTGGGACTTTAATTGCTCTCACTCTTATAAAGGGCATCCAGTTTAAGTTGGCTGGTATGGAATGCAATGGGAAATAAATGCAATGGGCTTTTAAAGTGTGTATTACATCTTTTGCATTCTCCCCTCATTTTGAATTTATGTATTATAGAAAGTTCAAAAACGGAGCTTGGGATTTTTATTAGCATTTTTTGGAATACTTGCTATGTGGTGGTCTTTCTGATTTCTCAATGACTGCTCCTCAGGGTGTAAGCATTATTATCTCCTTTTATTGGTGAAGTAAATGTAAATAATATACAGAGAGTAAGCGATAAAGCCAAGGTTTGGGTTGAGGGTTTGTTTTTTTTCCCTGTATAGATTTTAACTTTATTTAAAAAAATGTTTTTTAACGTTTATTTATTTTTGAGAGACAGAGAGGACACTAGCAGCGTAGGGGGAGAGAGAGGGAGACGCAGAATCCCGGGCAGGCTCCAGGCTCTGAGCTGTCAGCACAGACCCTGATGCGGGGCTCAAACCCATAAACTGTGATATCATGACCTGTACCGAAGTTGGATGCTCAACTGACTGAGTCACCCAGGCGCCCCCATTTAGATTTTACTTTAAAACATTAGTAATACAAAATCTGGAAATATTCACAACTTAGCCATTGAAAAATGGTAAAACTACTATCTTATCTCTCTGTTGCTGCTTAACAAATTACTCAGTAGCTTAAAGCATCCTACCTTTACCATCTTACAGTTCATGGAGTCAGGAATCTGGGCCAGGGTTAGCTGGGTCCATTGCTCCAGGGTCTCACCCAGGCCACAGTGAAGGTATCAGATAGGTTTACAATGTTATCTGAAGATTTGGCTGGTGAAGGAACTACTTCCAAACTCACTTTGTTATTGGCAGGATTGAATGCCTCTTCAGCTGTTAGACTGATGCCTCTGTTTCTTCTGTTCAGCCCGAGGCCTCCCTTGGTTCTTTCTTTTGTGGGTCTCTGCATAAAGCACCCACCGCAGGGCGCAGGGCGGCCCGCTTCCGGAGCGGACAGGGAGGAGACAGGAGACTGCCGGCCAGAGAGCCAGTGCCAGTGCCGGCAAGGGGGAAGTCACTTAGTGTGCCTGACTAAGGAAGTGACGCCGTCACCTTTGTCACAGCTCCATCCCAGACCACAGGGGAGGGGCTCACACAGAGGTATGAGTTCCAGGAGGTAGGGGTCTTTTTGGAGCCATCTTAGAAGTGTGCCCACCACGACTATCAGTGTGCAGTTTTTATTTGAAATCCCAGAAATAGTGTATTTAGATTAGATTAGAGAGTAGCTCACTCCTTTTAACAAATCCCCATCCCATAGCTATTATGGGTTTATATCCAAAAGCTCACTGATCAAGAAATAAGAAATAAAATACTGTCATGGGTAGTGGTTTGGTTGAAAGGATCAGAAATATGAAACACCAAAAAAGAGAAGGGGTATCAAGAAACATGAAAAAAGGAGAGGGAAATGCTAGCAGCTTCCAATCCCTGCACATAAGTATCTTGGAGGAGCCCTAGCCTGTGAAATGTTCATCTCCCTTCACTCTCTATGAAACTCCTCAGGGTTATAAGTAACTCCTTAGACTCCTTTCTTCCCTCCTTGAGAGAATCTCCTCCCTCTGCTCCTGGTTCCCTCCAGCCTCAGTGAGCTCTGGACGACTTGACCTCACTCCGTATTTCTCATTCCCATTGTCTGAGTACTGAGTGAGCCTGAGCCCTTCATCCTCAACCTCAAGCTTTAGGACTTTCCTCACTGTCCCCTTCCAACAAGAAAAATTGTGTGGTAGAGATTAGACTGTAAAGTTTGAGAGAGAAAAGATGCAAATTCCATCCAGAAGAGGCAATCTCTAATACATTCTAACGTATTCTATTCAGAAAGGAGCAGTAGTGTACATATAGGAAATAAGTTATCAATAAACTACTTTTACCCAGAGCAACATGATAGTGCATTTATCCTCCTTCCAGTGTGGTCTGTCAGAAATATTCAAGACCATCCCGAGGATGATAAGACAGTCATAGATAAGCATGCCATGGCCTCCCTCAGCTCTCTTCAGCTGGATAATTCGGTCATGCAGGGATAGTCCTCACCAGAGCCAGTGGAGGTTGTAAGTTCCTAGTTACCTTGGAGGCCCATCCACCCCTTCAAAGCTAAAGATTAAACAGACAAAACACTTTAAGAATTCTAAAAAAAAAATGGAGAGATATAGAGCCTCTACCCAGAAATAATATTCTCAAGGTTTCTCATGTGAAGTGTTCTATCCTACCAGTTTTCATTGATTAGGTTTAGAGAATTAAAGCCTAGTAGAGTGTTTTTAAAAAAAATGAATCCACTAAAAGGGGACGCGGTGTGATTGGTCAGTTGAAGGTGAGAGATTTCTAGAAATAATCTGTTGCTGCCACCTCACCCCAAATTGGAACCCATCAACTATGATTCCCATCTTGGTAAGAATATTAGATTTCAGAAGTTATTACATATAAACTAGAATCACCATGAAAAAAGTACTGCTTCACCCAAGTCAGTAGCTTTTTAATGTAGGAACTCAATTTTTCTAAGTCTTTAAGTTAAGATTTTCCATCTGGAAGAAGAAATGGTTCAGTCCCTGTGCCTAAGGCTGGGCTGGGAGCAGGAATGAACTGTGAGCAGACACGGGTCTTACACGTGTGACAGAAACGGCCTCAAACTGTGGTAGCGGTTGTATGCTTGGTACATTTTTAAAAATCAGAATCACATACTCAAAATGCATGAATTTTATGGTATAAGTTATACCTTTATAAAGTTATTGAAAAGGACAATGTATAGACTTCTTAAAACTTCATCAGAAGCCTCTTAATAAAGTGTTACTCTCATTTTCCCCCATAAATTCTTCCTTGCTCATTTCACTTTAACCCCTCTGGTGCCAACTTTTTGTCTTATAACCCTAAAAAATACTGCCATCTCTTCAGTTTCCCTATGTTTTTCATTATTTTGGTAAAATCATTCTGTACTTCAAAATATTTAGGAAATAGAACTAGAAGCCCTACTACATGGAACTCGCGTTACTCTGCAGAGCTTTAGCTAAGAGTGAGGAGGGTGCTCGCTTTACTTCGTTTGTCTCTGCTCTTTCACAGTCCTACGTGTGTTTGCATTCTAGGAAGGTTCGGGGACCCTAGGTCATTTCACAGCTCGCCCCTATGTGCTCTACGAGTGGAGGTAAAGATGCCCTCGTGCTGGTCAGCCCCAGGGGCAAGTCCTTGCACAAGCCAGTTTTGCCAGCGTCTCTTTACCTTTTCCCGTGATGAATTTAAGTATTTACAATGGTTAGATCGTTGTGGGTAACAGATTTAAGATTTAAGAGATTAAAACTCTGGTTAATTTCTCTTCTCATTTTTATAGCTCAAATCTAATCCAAGTGAAAATGAAGAAAAGGAAGCCCAGTTTCAGCTTATGAAATCTGATGAAATGCAGCGTTTGCGCTTACAAGCGCTTGACGCTTTTGAAAGCTCAGATTATACTGCTGCTATAACCTTCCTTGATAAGATTTTAGAGGTAAGTTTCTTAGACATTGCAGCTGACAAGCAACTGTTTGTTATGAGGCATGTTCATACCATTTGACATGTCTGTTTGTTATGTATCACAAGCGACCTGGAGAGGATAAGATCAGATTGGTCCTTGGGCTTTTAGCTCTTAAGTGAGAGATGGTGTTTATATAGAACAAAATTTGGAACTGCAGTTTTCAGTAACTGTACTCAATGTGCTGTGGAATGGGAGTTACATATTTTTATACATTGCTTGCTTTACCGTTTTTGTTTGATTTTCTATTTTTGGCAGGGGGAGAGAATTCTAGAGTTTAGATAATGAGGTAAAAGATGAAAGAATTGGTTGAAGAAAAAGGAACAGTAATGTTTCAGGGGAAGGGTGTTTAGAGTGAGAAGTCTGTAGGGAGGAAACAGATGGAAAGTTGACAAGCCCCGGAGGTCAAGACAAGAGCTCAGTCTATAGTTTCCTTGCCTCTGAAGGACTTCGTGACAGATGGTTTCAGAAGGAAATCTACTAAGATATTCAAGTAGTAGCAATCCTAATTCCTGTTGATTTATCATTTTCATAGCACTTTGATGTACAATTCCATTTAATCATGGCAGTAAACTTAGTATGTAGAGTAGGTGCTTCTTTGATAATTTTATGGAGGAAATCGTGTGATAGTCGAGTGAAATTCATGTTTTATTAAATTATTTTGCTTATAATTTGTTCAGGAAACATAAAGTTATAATTTTTACCTTCCAGTAGTTTGACTAACCATGTTGACCTGATTAGCCAAGATATTTAATTCATGTACATGTTGATTTGATATCTTAATATATGTGAAAAGTTGACATGACTTTTTTTTTTTAATGTTTTTATTTCTGAGAGAGAGAGAGAGAGAGAGAGACTGCATGAGCAGGGGAGGGTCAGAGAGGGGGAGAACACAGAATCCAAAGCAGGCTCCAGGCTCTGAGCTGTCAGCACAGAGCCCAGCGCGGGGCTCGAACCCACGAACCGCGAGATCATGACCTGAGCCGAAGTTGGACGCTTAATCGATTGAGCCACCCAGGTGCCCCAAAGTTGACATGACTTTACAACAGCTCTAAGAAATGTGGAAAGATACTTCCCTAGGCCTTATTGGTGAACTTTTGGGATTACATTTTTTTAAAAAAATTCGTGCATTTATAAACATTGTCAACTTTCTGATAAAGTAGAAATGGCGAAACCTCCACCTTCTCATGTTGTTTGCTTCTTTTCTTTGTTTTATGGTATGAGGATTTAATTTCGAGACATTTTACAAAAGATCCTATTTAGTTATTAGTAGAATGGAAATACTTTGCAGGTTTAGAACCTAGATTTTACAATTAGAATTGTTGATTAAGTACAAAAATCTGATTAAAGAATACTTTTTCAAAATCAGATACACTTCACTGGTAACAACCTTCTAATAGTAATGCCATGTATTCTTATTTTCAGAGGTTTAAAATTATATAATTGAAGGAAGTAGGAAAGGGGCCTCGTTAGCATATATATACATATATGCTATATATACATATATGTACATCTACATATATACATATATATGTATACATATATATACATCCCTTCCCCCATTAGAATTTAAGATATCCTTCAAGAAATTGCTTTGTCACATCTGAATTGTATCAGATTTTTTAATACTTTATGATATAGAAATCACATTAATTGAAGATGGTTTCATGTTGATAAATGTGTCGGCCAACTACGTGGGATGAAGTATGAGTGTGCATAGTTTACTACTTCTTAAAGTCTAGTTCTCTTGTTTCTCAAGGTTTGTGTTTGGGATGCAGAACTCCGGGAACTTCGAGCTGAATGTTTCATAAAAGAGGGGGAGCCTAGGAAAGCGATCAGTGACTTAAAAGCTGCATCAAAGTTGAAGAATGATAATACTGAGGCTTTTTATAAAATCAGCACACTGTACTATCAACTAGGAGACCATGAACTGTCCCTCAGGTCAGCTCTAGTGACATACACATCCGGTCCTCTTTTCAGTGTTGGGAATAAGATAATAAACCCATTTAAAAACATTTTAATTTTAAATTAAAACTGTGGTTAAAGTTGTTTTTATATTCTTTATATATTTTGTATTTTCTCTAAGTTATTCTGTTTCCACACAGTTTATTTTTATGAGCTATGCTTATTAAAATAGAGATATTATATTTGCAGAAAGAAAATGGGGTGTTTAATGTAGAACTCTACTTATTTTAATTTGAATTAATAATACGTGTGTGTGGCACAATGCCACATGTGAAAGTATATGGTCAATTATTAAATCATTGTGTTTTTTAATTGTTACAAGCAAAAAATACCTTTTATTGTGATTTCTGTATTTAGTATGGAAAACTACTCAATGATTATTTTGACTTGGAGTATTTTCCTCTTTTTAAATATATGAGCAGTGAAGTTCGTGAATGTCTTAAACTTGACCAGGATCATAAAAGGTGTTTTGCACACTATAAACAAGTGAAGAAACTTAACAAGCTAATTGAGTCAGCCGAAGAGCTCATCAGAGACGGCAGGTAAGAATACGCTCGTCTGCCCTCTGTAGCCTCCCTTCTCTGTCTTTCCTGGGCACAAAAGATCAGTTGAACTGCTTGCTCGTTTACTCCTTAGCCATTGAGGATTGCCTATGCTTGGTAGCCCTGGGCCTTGGCAAAAACTACTGCAGCAGTACTTTTTTAAAAAAATTTTTTAATCTTTATTTTTGAGAGAGAGAAAGAGAGACAGAATGCAAGTGGAGGAGGAACAGAGAGGGAGACACAGAATCTGAAGCAGGCTCCAGGCTCCGAGCTGTCAGCACAAAGCCTGACACAAGCTCGAATTCATGAACAGCGAGTCATGACCTGAGCCAAAGTTGGATGCTCAACTGACTGAGACACCCAGGCGCCCCTGTACTTATTTTTAATAAGGCAGAACATAAATAATAGCAACTGCATAGTATTCTTACCTGCAGATTTATTTATATTTCACCAAATTTTTATGGAGTATCTCCTGTGTCAGGCACTGACAATGTACTAGAGGTATAGAAATGAGAATGACCTGGTTTTTAGTGTTAAAAACCTTAAAGATTAATGTGGGAGACAGACATATAAGTTGATTATTAAAAGATAATGTATCTAGAGTGATAGAGATATATACAGAATATATAGAGATTTTCTTATGTACAGGATTCTGGGTTAAGTCCTTTTGTTAGAGCACCTGAAAAATACTGTACCACTTCTTTGTGGCCTCCATGGTTCCTGATGAGAAATCCATGGACATTCTGATTGTTTCTCCCTAAAATCAGGTATTTTCCTCTGACTGCTTTCACGATTTGTTTTCTTTGTCTTTTAAACTTTTTTTTTTTTTTAATTTTTATTTATTTTTAGGGGAGAGAGAGAGAGACAGCGTGAGCAGGGGAGGGTCAGAGAGAGAGGGAGATACAGACTCTGAAATAGGCTCCAGGCTCTGAGCTGGCAGTCAGCACAGAGCCCAACGTGGGGCTCGAACCCACGAACAGTGAGATCATGACCTAAGCGAAAGTCAGACGCTTAACCGACTAAGCCACCCAGGCGCCCCTGTCTTTTAAACTTCTGAATAGAAGTTTAATTATGGTGTATCTTGGTATGGATTTCTTTTTTTTTTTTTTTAATCCTATTTGGAATTTATTTAGCTTCTAGAATATGTAGGTTTGTGTCTTGTCAAATTTGGGAAATTTCAGTCATTATTTCTGTTTAAAGTTTGTATTTTAAATATTTATTTATTTTTGAAAGGGGGGGGTGTGTGCACAAGTAGGGGAGGGGCAGAGAGAGAGAGAGGGAGGGACACAGAATCCGAAGCAGGCTCTAGGCTCAGAGCTGTCATAGGCTTACAGCCGGATGTGGGGCTCAAACCCATGAACCATGATCATGACCTGAATTGAAATAAAGAGTCTGATGCTTAACCGACTGAGCCACCCAGGTGCCGTGATTTCTTGAAATACTTTTTTTAGCCTTTCCCTCTCTGTTTTTTGTCTTAGATTCTGATTGATGTAAATGTTAGCTCTTCTGTTGCAGTCCCAGAGGTCCCTGAGGCTCTCTTCTTTGTTCTCCATTCCTTTTCTTTCTGATCAACTTTGGTAGTTTTTTATCACTCCAATTCATGGATTCTTTTCTCTGTCCCCTCCATTCTACTGTTGAGCACACTCAGTGAACCTTCTTACTTGGGTTTTTCTAGTTTTTAGTTCTGATAACCAAACGTTATTCTGGTATCTCTTTTGTTTCTTTGCCAAGGCCATCTATTGCTTTCATTTCTTTAAGCATGTTTATCACTCTGCTGCTCTTGCCAAGGCTGCTTTAAGATCTTCATCAGGTAATAGGTATTGGAATTCATTGTCTTTTCTCACTCAGTTTGAGATCTTACTGTTTGTTGGTATGATGAGTGGTTTTTGATCGAAACCTTGACACTTTCATTTTATAAGACTTTTTTTTTTTTTTTTTTAATTTAAATCTTCTTCTGTTTTGCCTGGCTTTTTCTGACATTGTTCCAGCAAAGCAAGGGTGGGCATCACCTTGTTACTGTCGGGGAGGTAGAAGTTTCCCCCTCGACCTTTGTTGATACCGGAGGTATGGGGCTTCTCACTACTGCTTAGAGCAGATGGAGGTTGGGGGACTATTTATTCCCAGCCATGGATGAAAGTCCTGGCTTCCCACTGACTTCTGATACCACTGTGGTGGGGGTGTGGGCACACCTCGTCACAGCCTCTCCACCTGACCTGTTGGCATTGGGAGGGGGGTGGGGCCATTAAGGCCCCATATTTTTCTGTGACATTTGGCTGGAGTGGCACTGTTATTATCATACATTTTCCATCTTGCTAGGCTGCCCTTTCCAGTAGCTTTGGCTTGAGTGAGCGGCTCTTGCTGGTTTGGGATTTTCTGTCAGCACCCATCGGCGTTTCTGGGTGGCTGGCCTCTTCAGCGCCAAGTCTTGGTACATGAAACAAACAAGCAAACCTAGGAAGCTTTAGCATATTGTTTCCCTCAGGTCACGCCTCCTGGGCTGGTCTGCCTCCTTCTCTCCCCTTGCTGAGTCTTTATATGTTGGCAAATATGGAATATCTAAGGTATTTAATTGTACCTAGTTGGAGAAACTGAGGAAAGTACATTTACTCTACTTTCCTTTTCTTTTTTTTTTTTTTTTTAAGTGAAGTTCAGTACTTTCTTGCTGAACTTTTTGTTTTGAGCTGTTTGTAGTTTCAAATGTAGTTGTATAAAGGAAAGCAAGGTTTTGCATGCTCTGTATAGTTTCCTACAATTGTTGTACCATCTTGGAAAACTACACAACACTATCCCAGCTAGCATTTTGACATCGATAGCTTCTGTCTTCAGTGTTATAATCTGTGTTTTAATACATCAGCATTTAAATGTGAAGATAGTAATGCATTTTGGGAATAATGTGCCACAGTGGCACATAAATATATTGTTTAGTGTGCCATTACTGAGGAAAGTAACTTCGTGTATAACATGACTAATACTTTTCACCAGTTTTAAAAAATGCGGAAATAGCTTTTATTGTTCTTAGAAAGCTGGTAAGTTGGGAATTTAAGCAGGTTCTTTTTGCAGGAAACTACATTGTACTTAGTTGTGAATATGGACATGCATTATATAAAATGACATGTAGATAATGGGCTCGATTCTTTCATGAAGGTGTGTAGTGACCAAGAAATAAAACCTGATCTCTGTTTTGTTGAAAATGCCTTGTGTAAGTCACACTTTAATAAGGTATTTTTACTCCGTTTCAAAATCATGAGCATTTTTCTGTAAAGAAATTCATCATTTTGTTTGATTGGTATTCACAGGTATGCTTTGATTTATACATATACATTTTTTGTGGTCATGTGTTTTATCTCCCAATTTTTGATTGCAGAGGTACCTTAGTAAGGTAAAAGTAGTGTTTGAAGGGCTAAATGAAGAGTAGAGGGTTCTTTATTTACCCCCTGAAAAAGAATTTCACTGTTACTCATGATGATTTGCTCATTAACAGATATACAGATGCGACCAGCAAATATGAGTCTGTTATGAAAACAGAGCCAAATGTTGCTGAATATACAATTCGTTCAAAAGAAAGAATTTGCCACTGCTTTTCTAAGGTAACAGTTGTTTCATTCCCAGAAGTGTGAAAACGTAATATATGGCATAACAACCATAAATCCTTTTCTCACATTTACTTATAGGATGAGAAGCCTGTTGAAGCAATTCGAGTGTGTTCTGAAGTTTTACAGACAGAGCCTGACAATGTGAATGCTCTGAAAGATCGAGCAGAGGCCTATTTAATAGAAGAAATGTATGATGAAGGTTAGTCTTTAAGGAATTTGATTTGCGGTATCTAAAAGTTGATGTGTATGAAGTTCGCACATGTTTAACATCTTTTTGTTTAGAACAAAACTTTTTATTGCTGAAGAGCAAAAATAGGCAATTTATCTGTAAAATGCTAGAAAGTAAAAACTATAGGCTCTGTGCCCCATATAGCCTGGGTTGCTACCACTCCTCTCTGCCTGTGTGGTGCCAGGGCAGCCATCGACAACACAAATAGACATGCCTGTGTTCTAGTGAAACTTTATTTTAAAAACAGGTAGTGGGCTGGAATCATTATTACCTCTGTTCTGTAAGAGAGGGGAAAATATTCAACGTTTCACCATCAGTCCCTCCTTGAAGAGTATTCTATTTTATGACAGTACTACATTTTGTTTCTCTATTCTCATATAAATGGACATCTGGGTTGAATTTGGTTATGAAAAAAGCTGGTGTGACCTTTCTGCACACACACAAAAGGCTTATTTTTTGGAATAGGTTTTCATTTATCTGGTGTAAATATCTATGAGTGAAGTACTGAATCATAGGGTAAAACATATGCTTAGTTTTAAAAGAAACTGCTAGACTCTTTCTAAAAAACAGTTTACATTTTACACTCCCTCCAGTGTAAACATGAGCATTCTGCATCCTTGCAAATGTTTGGTGCCGGCAGGCTTTTACATGTATACATTTTGGTGTGTGTTAATAGTTTCTCATTGGCGCTTTAATATGTCTTCTTGGATGATTAAAGTTATTGAATACTTTTTCATATGCAGCTTGTATATTCAGGTATCTTCCAGGGGTGCCTGGGGGGCTCAGTTGGTTAAGCGTCCAACTCTTGGTTTCAGCTCAGGTCATGATCTCATGGTCATGAGATTGAGATTGAGTCCTGCTTTGGGCTCCATGCTGAGCATAGAGCCTCCTTGGAATTCTCTCTCCTTTCTGCTCCACCCTCTCTCATGCTTTCTCTCTCTCTCAGAATGAATAAGTAAACATTAAAAGAAAATTATCTTTCTCTGTGAAGAGGGATTTAGATATTAATTTACTTAACATAATTTAAATGATCATGACCTGAGCCAAAGTCGTATACTTAACTGACTGAGCCACCTAGGTGCTCCTCTTCTTTAACTTCTAATACTAATAGTTTGTAATTCTTTTTTTCCCCTCTTAATGTAACTTGAGTTTGGCCGAATTTATTGGTCTTTTAAAGGAAAAAACTTTATGGATATGTTAATGTTTTCTATGATTTTCCTTTATTATTCATTGATTTTTTTTCTCTTTGTTTCCTTCGACTTATTTTGGGTTTACTTTGTGCTTTTCTGGCTTCTTGTGGTTGAACTGCCACTGATTTTAGGTCTCTCTCTCTTTTTTTTCTTCAGTACAAGTGTTTAAAGCTGTACTTCTCATATTTTGTTTTCATTATCATTTGGTTTGAAATACATTCTAATTCCCTTCTTCTTTTTTGATGCATGGATTGTTTGGATGTATGTTGTTTAATTTTGAAATGTTTGGTGGTTTCCTAGGTATCTTATTAATTTTATGTGGTCAGAGTACATACTCCATGTAATTTCCTTCCTTTTGAATTTATGTAGACCAGTGTTTTAGTCTAGTGTGATATCTGTTTTTGCTGAGTGTTCCATGTGAACCTGAAAATACTATGTATCTGCACTTGTTGGGTGTGACGTTTATGTTAGTTTTCCCATCAAGTGCTGAGAGAGGAGAGTTGTTAAGATCTTTAATTACCTATTGTGAATCTTGCAAACTTTCTTCCTTCCCTTTAATATTGTCCATTTTCCATTTTTCCTTTATGCATTTTGAAGGTCTGCTATTAGCAATGCACACGTCTGTGACTGTTAAATTCTGCTGGTGAACGCTGCTTCCTGTCTCCTACCCCCCCACCAAGTCCAGAAAGGAGTATGGCAGTATTCTCAAAAAACTCTGAAGAAGAATCACTTTTTACCCCATATTTTTATATATAGCAAGCTATCAGTTAGGGTAGTGTTTTCTAATTATTTGGAAGTTTCCCTTTTCAGTGTTGTAGAATCCCCATGGAAAGCCTGCTGTTTACTGGGAGGTGGCTTTTTTAGTTCTCTGTGAAAATCATTCTGTTCAGGTTTTGTTTCTTTTGGGATCAGTTTGAGTTACTCATTTGAGTTTTCAAATTTACTTGTACAGAATTTAGCGAAGTATTCCCATTATTTTAATTTCTTCTCTCTTATTTGTCACTTATTTGTTATTTTTGGTATTTGATCTTGCTTTCTTTTCTGGATTAGGTTAGAGGAATGTATTGATTTTTGCCAAGAACTAAGCCTTTCGACTTATAAGTTCTATTCTTTTCCTCCTGCATCTCTCCCTTGGCCGTGGTTTCTCTAGCTTTCTCCTTGGTGAGTTCATCCTCAGGGGCTCCTAGGAAAGCTTTTTCTCCTTTCTTTTATGTTTGTACCGTTATTCTTAAAGGATGGCTTGGTTAGATAAGAAGACCCTTTGCTCTGCTCACACTTTTTCTGTATCTTTAAGTTATTGTCCCATTGTCTCCTGGCATTGAATATTGTTCTGGAAAATCTGGGGCCAGGTTTTCTGGTTTTGATCTGGCTGTTCAAAGAGCCCTCATCTTTCACATGTGAAGGTGGAGGCTAGCCAGCACAGGTCTTCCTCTTCAGCGCTCCCCTCCAGTTTGCCCAGACACCTAGCGGGCCCTTTCCTGAAATAACAAATGAATGTACAGATTGAAAAATGTCTCACGTTTAATTTGAATTGTTTTGTTCTATTGTATTGGTTTGTTTCTCTCCTTCCAAGATCTAATTATGTGTAGGTTGTATTTCCTCTGCTTGCCGTGTATAGCTGCTATTTTTTCTCTAGTCTTCTTCAACTTTTTATTTACGTTTCAATTTTTAGATTCTTATTTTTTCCCATAGGATGCTGCTTCTGGTGTTCCTTCTCATTTCATATGTAATTCTGATAGTTGTGATCTCCTTGCGTACTGACTACTCACATTTTTATCTCTTCTTTGTCTGATTCTCTCTTTACTGAGTTCTTATTCTGCTTTGTGGTAACTCTTACAAGTGGTGATTGGATTAAGTTCTAAAAATTCATGCCATAATGTTTCCTCAGAATTTTCAGGTACTCTCTGGCTCTTGTTCTCATGTGTGTTCATCAGGTAAGTCTTGGTGCTCTTTTTCTGTCTCAATTTAAAAACTGTCTTCAAATTGATGCTTTACCATTTTCTTAAAAATTTATTTTGAGAGAGAGAGAAAGGGGGAGAAGGGAGGGGAGGGGGAGAGAGGGAGAGAGAGGGCGAGCATGAGCAGGGGAGGGGCAGAGAGAGAGGATCCCAAGCAGACTCTGAGCCATCAGCTTGGAGCCCCATGAAGGGCTCGAACCCACAAAACGTGAACTCATGACCTGAGCCCAAACCGAGACTCATTTAACTGACTGAGCCACCCAGGCGCACTGATGCTGTACCATTTAAAAAAAAAAATTATCATAAAATGACTTGAATTATCCTGCCCTATCTATTCGCGGGAAAGTCGTGTGTGTATGTGTGTGTGTGTGTGTGAGAGAGAGAGAGAGAGATAGAGTGCTGGGGACAGGGCAGCCTTTGGTACTTACACTTGGAATACTCTCTGCTTCACTGTTTCCACAGACATTCTGCCTCCTTGTAAAATGGCCTTTCTACATAGCCCTGCCCTCTCTGCTTCTCTGAACCCAACCATATCCAGGAGGTCAGCAGCTGCCAGTCCTGCTGCCCCTCTGCCCACTTCCTTTGCTTCACCAAGGGGGTGTATCTTTTACATGTGCGGATGAGCCCTCACCTTCAGAGCACATAGTTGCTGGAGTTTCCAGAGATGTGCTGCCCAGCGCGTTTGCTCTTCTCGTATTCTCTTCTTTCCCTCTGTCTTTTCCTGAGTAAGGTCTTCACTTTATCTCCTCCTCTCTGTCTGGCTCTGGATGTCATGGTTCATGCAAAGGATATAGGTTGTCACTTCCGGGTGAGCCCATACTCATAGAAAGTATATTTTGCTGGTATTTTCTGTTTTTGTTTTTGTTTTTTTGCCATTGGGCTTTCTCACTATTGCTTCCCCCCTCTCATCTTGGATTCATGGATGACATGAGCTAAGTTTAACAGGCCTTGTACATGACTGTTTTGCATGGTGTCCTGGAGGAGATGATCGGTGTTGCGTAGCATATTTATATTGGATCTAATGTTCTCTTTCAGCGGCTCTCGGTCCCTGTACTGAGGAGAAACTTTTAGGGGAATAAGGATGGAGGCTGGGAACAGCTGTTCAGATGTATTAATGATGGATTGCGGACATCACAGTGGTGATTGGGGAAATGATGAGAAGCAGTCAAATTCTGGACATATTTTTTGGGATTTGCTAGTGGATGGAAGGACTGAAGGAGGGCAGTCTTTTTTGCAGCTGTGCACATCTGTCTTTGAAATGCTGCTTCTGCATCGGGGAGCTGAAAGCAGGCTTTAAGTGGGTGGGGCCGTTCGCAGGAAGACTTGCCCTGTGGCGCTTGCCATCTTGCCCAGTTGCCAAAATGAGCAAGAAATTAATCATTTTATTCATTGCGTGGAGTCCTTTTCCTTTGTTTGGTCCGAGTCTGCTGTGGAGATCCCGAGCGACCAAGGCTCTCTTCAGCCACGTCAGGGGCCGCACCACATGTGCCTCTTCTGTTCGGTTCAGAGGCGGAGTCTTGGGCCTGGGTGGCATGAATGCAGCAGTAGCGGCTGCGCACTCAGAGGGGGTGCCTGCCCCCACATCCCTCAGTCCTCTCGCAGCGGTCCTGTGGTCACTCAGGTGCTCCTGCTTGCTATGCGTTGCATGAGGATCTTTGGCCAAACGGAATGGCTCGCAGATGCGCGAGGGCCTCAGCTTGTGCTGACGTTCTCTACACTTAGGGAGCAAATGGGATCATGGTAATCATGAATAAATGTGCCTCTCTTTCAGAAGTTTCTGAAAATTTCTGGTCTGCTGTTTTCAGGGCTGCCATGGTTCTGTTTTTTTTTTTTTTGGCTATTTCACTGGGGCAGTGGGATGGAAGGGAGGTGCCCTCTGCTGTCTGTCATCTTGGTCTGGTTTGCTTTGTTCCCTCAGCAGTGAGTAGGGGGACTGTGGCAGAAGAAGGACTTGGGAAGGTTTTTTAGATTCAGAGGATAGAAAATGAATTGACTAATATGTATTAGATGGTTTATTCAGGGCCTTAATATTTCTGCTTTTCATGGATACATTATGACAGTATGGGATAAACATAATTGGCTGTTATTTACTCTAGTTTTGAAGATTTCTCCTTAGAGAGTGGAATCTGAGAAAACATAATGTCCATGGGAAGCTTTAACATGCACCCATAGTAAGTTTCTAATTAAATTACCTACCTGTAATCATGTGAACGTAGGAAACCACCTATAATTTTATAATTTTTTTCTCTGAGGAGAAATGTGCCTACCTTAAGTTTTATTAAAAGAAAGAAGACTGCTTTGGAGGAGATGGTCTGAACATTTAAGAGTGAAAACATGTTTAAAATGTAGAGTCTGTATTAATAGCAAAATTGCATATATTGAAACATTTTCTCATATTAAATTCCTTCAAAGTACATTTCCTTTCTAGATTGTGATATCAAGTGCTGCGGGTATTAAGTGTAAAGTTAAACGTCACTACTATCTGTGATGGCTTTGTGTACTAAATTGGAAAGGTATTTTATGTTGTCATTGTGGTTAGGGTGACTAATAAGGTTTCATATTAATATGCAGCATTAATCCACTGAGGCAGGAATTAGGATAAAAATTTAAACATACCCCCACGGACCAAAGGTAGCATTGGTTCCTTTTTCTGTGAAGTGCAGACTCATGACAGTGACCGTCCCTTCTGTGCAGGGGGTCCCTTCCAAAGCCCCCAGTGTAAGCCCAGAACTGCAGATAGTACAAGCCATATACATACACTGTTTTTTCCTATACTTAATATCTCTGAGCAAGTTTAACTTATTAATTAGGCACAGTAAGAGATTAAGAATAATAATAAAATGGAACACTTATAACAACATACTGTAATAAAAGTTACGTGAATGTGGCCTCTCTCTCAAAATACCTCATTGTCCTGTACTCACCCCTGCACCTGTGAGGATACAAGATGATAAAATGCCCGTGTGATGAGAGATAAAGTGAGGAGAATGACACAGACATTGGGATATGGCATTAGGCTGCTCTTGACCTTCCAGCACTATGTCAGAAGGAAGGGTGATGTGTGCCTTCCTAGTAAACGCCTTCCAGGATTAGCTGTTGCCAAGACAGTGCTCAGGCATGTCCTCTAGAGAGATGTCTGTTCCCACAGTGACATGCACCTCCATAAAAACTAGAATTTGCATTCAACAGTCCATTATTTGAGATGTCCATCCAGGGAGAACAATAAGGAAGACTTGTATTGGTGCTTCTCAAAGCCGCTCCTAGATTTGGTGATTGCATCCGGGGAGGACGCAATGAGCCTCAGCATACAGCTGTACTCAGGCTAAGATTTACTCTAGTGCAAGGACACAAAGTAACATCAGCAAAGGGAAAAGGCACAGGGTGCAAATTTCAGAGGAAACCAAGTAGAAGCTTCCAAGAGTCTTTCTCTGTGAAATTGTAGGACAAGCCAAGTGTTGCCTACTGGGGAAGTTTGGTAGAGAGTCATCACTCGGGGTGTTTATTCGGGCTGGTCAGGTAGGCACCTTCTGCCCAGCCCGTACCCAAATTCCAGACTCCCGGAAGGAAGGAAGATGTTTAGCATAAACCACATTGTTTGTACAAGCATTTAGGCACGGGGAGCCGTTCTTTCCAGGGAGTGGTGGGAACACTCCTGCAGCCCATCTTTCCGGACGCCAGCCAGGACCAGCCTTACCTGTAGGCTCTTCAAAGGATCACAGTTTCAGGCTGGCTATGTTGGCTCTTTTCTGCGTGACTTAGCTCTCCACATGCTCTGTGTTCTAGATATTAAAATATTCAAAAATTAGATAAAAGACGTAGAGGGGATTGTTATCAGGCTTCTCATACGGGGACAGTGTGTGCCATTTTGCTTTGATTCATACTTTAGAAACATCAGGTTTGTAATAGCTCCTGTTGAAACTGGGTGACGTAGCCATTCTGGTTGTCGATGGTTCCTCTTGGGCTCCCTTTATAAATAAGCCTCTGATCCTTCCGAACTGTGGGCCTGTAGCTGACTGTGCAGATTGTCTTTGCCGTGGTCTTATTTTCTTTTGTAACAATCACTTCAGTCTTAGTGATGGTAAGACTGCTTTGTTTAAAGTATGGGTATTAAAATACCTCAAATGTGTGGTGAAAGTAATGTGGGAGGGTGGGTAAGTAAACAAAAAGCAGTGAGTTTTACTGAGTGGGAGTAAAAAGCTACCTAAATTGAGCTGTAATTATGCTATGCCTTTTATAAGTTTGCTAACAAAATCATCACTATAACTTCTTGGGCTCCTGAGCAATGATTGCACCAGAGTAAAGGGCTGGGATGGTGACTTTAGTATCCATCTTACCGGATAAGCGGAGGTTACAAATTGTAATTCCTCTAACAGCATTATCTTAACATAATTTGACAGCTATTCAGGATTATGAAACTGCTCAGGAACATAATGAAAATGATCAGCAGATTCGGGAAGGTCTAGAGAAGGCACAAAGACTATTGAAACAGTCGCAGAAACGAGATTATTATAAAATTTTGGGAGTAAAAAGGTGAGTTATTTTAAAATTTACATTAATTTCAATCAACTGTTTTAAAGGTTATCATTGCTCTTCTTTTTTCTCTCATTCATTTGCTTTCTTTCTGTAATTTTGGTCATGGATTAAACCTAACTGTCTTTAACATGGATTAAAACCTAAATTGTTACCGGCAATATTTCTTTGATAGAGACTAGTACTGTGGTGATAGGGAATTAGTAGTTGGTGACAACCGTATGACACTGTAGCCTGAATAGATCCTAGCCTAGATTATTTAGGAAGGGTAAGGAGGTAGGAGTAAGATTTCTTCTGTGAGAATAGGCGGGAGAGATGGGGGGTAGGGGAAGAAAACTTCTCTAGGCCTAAAAATAAAGTGGCACTTGGAGAATTAACTTACAGACCCGAGATCTACAAAAGCTGGGCAATTTTAGACCCGCTTTTGTAGAACAAGGGAACCAGCAATCTTTTGATCAAAAGTCTGAACCTTTGTTCTTATTAATAAGTAAGCTAACCAGATGCAAAACAGAAAGTGGGGTTCAGACTCAGAGTATCTCTTTTAATGCCAAGAATTGTATCATGGTAGGCTGGAAATTCAGAAGGTTTAAAAACAGGTCTGTGTGATTTTTTTTTTTTTTTTTTAAGGGAAAATTGCGAAGATCAAAAGTAGTTTTGTCCCCAGTGAGATTCTGATATTAGGGAACAAGTATCTGAACAAGACTGACCGGCTTTAATGGCCATCCAGACTGGATGTTAAATGTTCAGCCTGGGACACTGGGCACAATTAGAAAACCAGGTTGCTAGTTTGCCGGTGGGATCTTAACTGTCTTTTAGTTTTTTGTGGCTGTGTGTTGGGCACTTCTTAACTAATGATTGTTTATTTTAATACTGCTCAGAAATGCCAAAAAGCAAGAAATCATTAAAGCATACAGAAAATTAGCACTTCAGTGGCACCCAGATAACTTCCAGAACGAAGAAGAAAAGAAAAAAGCTGAGAAAAAGTTCATTGACATCGCAGCTGCTAAGGAAGTCCTCTCTGACCCAGGTATTTTTGTCCTTAGCATTTTCTGTTCTGAAATGGCCGAGGCTGCGATGCGCAGGCCTGTAGCTCCAGTCCTTTGCTGACTTAGAGACAGGGTCCCGTGGGGACAGGGGCTGCTCAGGGCCACCCTGTAGGAGCCGGTGACCACCGGGTCCCTCGCCTCGCAGTTGCAGAAGTCCAGCGTCGTGCCTGCCTGTCAGCATCAGGCCCATACGTCCGGTGCAGTGGAAAGACCAACAAACTTGGAGTCAGAAGGCTTGATGTGCCTCTTAGCTCTACCTGCAGAAGTTCCTAGAGCTTTTTGAGCCTGTTTGTCTACCAGTGAGGGGGAACGTCTTAGGTTCCTTCCACTTTCCCAGCTCACTGATGAATTCTTTATACCAAACTTCTAGGAGCTCAATTAGGAAACCAGAATGCCAGGGGGAGTGAAGGGGCGGGGTGTGTATACCTAGCCTCGGGGGGGCCTGTCCTCCCCAGGAACCTTGCCCTGAGTCAGATGTTCATTAGATACTCGTTGCCAGATATGTTTTTATCATATGCTAAAATGGCCTGGAAAGAAATTGGTAATACGAAACAATGCTTCGACATTTCCAGAAGGAATTTAATGTTAAGCTAATACATGTTGTTTTTTTTGTGTCTGTGTCCATAGGAGTAGAAGCTATGACTTGAGCTAGACAAATTCATCAAAAATAGAAGGGAATCAAGATTTGATTTTATTATAAATCAAGATTTATTTTATTTGATTAGCCATTTGGCTAATATTTTTTTTAAAAGTATTTATTTTGAAAAGAAGGAGAGGGGCAGAGAGAGAGAATCTAAGCAGGCTCTGTGCTGTCAGCACAGAGCCTGATATGGGGCTTGAACCCATGAACTTCAAGATCATGACCTGGGCTGAAGTAGGACGCTTAACTGACTGAGCCTCCCAGGCGTGCTCCGTGGCAAATCGTTTTTGAACATCTTCTGCTGTGGAATCGAAGCCATGTGATCCTCTGTTCTCATTTAAACCCTGTAAGGGGGGTGGAAATGTAGTTAGCTAATGAGCACAGCAGTATAGTCTGTTCTTTCGCTCAGCAAATGACTGCCAGCAAGGTCCTTGAATGGTTTGGCACAGTGGACGGGCAGGGCACTGGGAGTTTGGAGTCGTCTTAGGGGGCACGTCGGGCGGGGGGACACGACCCTGGAGCTGAGCCCTGAGGGTGGCGGGGAGCAAACCGATGGAATTGGGGCCGACAGTCACAAAGTACCTGCAAATGCAGTTCTTTTCTGATGCCTAGTTCTTGTGGTTCTGGTCCTTCTTCTTAGCCCGTGTTCTTATTTTAAGGATGAATAGAGGCACCTGGGTGGCTCAGTCAGTTAAGCGTCGGACTTCGCCTCAGGTCAGATCTCATGGTTCGTGGGTTCGAGCCCCGCATCAGGCTCTGTGCTGACAGCTCGGAGCCTGTTTTAGATTCTGTGTTTCCCTCTCTCTCTGTCTCAAAAATAAAAAAACTATAAAAAAAAAAAAAAGGATGAGTCTAGTCTGAGTCTGGTCCCTTGCTCTCCGGCCACCTGCAGGGTTCCCTTCTGCGGTATGTCTGCATTCGTCTCTGTCTTGTCCGAGACCTTCCTCGGACCGACAGGCACCGCGGCGGGCGGCCTCCTGCCCTCACAGCAGGGAACCTTCGTTCTGTTGGGACCTAGGAGAGTCAGATGCAGGTTGATGGGGTTGAGCTGCGTCGCTTGGGCCGGGGCCGGGCGACGACGGTAACACGGCTCTTTGATCATAAGGGTGTGACTCTTGGAGGTCTCCTCCTCCGCAGTTCCTTTTCTCAGAGAGAGAATTTCCTTGGGCAGCTTCTTGTGAGGAGAGAACATTCAGGGGGCCTGGGCTTCCAGGAACCCCCGTTTCCAGCCGTAACAGGTAATTCTTCCCGAGGCCACACCCGTGGGCTGGGCAGGACCGGGGGCGGCATCTGCCTGCGAGAAGAGAAGCCGGGGACCCGGCGCCTCCCTCCCCCGCTTAGTCACTGCCTGCGTCCTAATTTGCTGGTTTCTTTCTCTAGAAATGAGGAAGAAGTTTGATGACGGAGAAGACCCCCTGGACGCGGAGAGCCAGCAGGGCGGCGGCAGCCCTTTCCACAGAAGCTGGAATTCGTGGCAGGGCTTTAACCCCTTCAGCTCCGGCGGACCTTTTCGATTTAAATTCCACTTCAATTAAACCAGCTCTTTTTCTGCTCTTCTTCCTTACTTTTTTTAAAGATTAAAAAGAAAGAAACCTTGTTCTGGGATCCTAATGAAAAAAAAAAATTCAAATCTTTTAGTTTGTCCATGACCAAAGAGTTGTTTTCGTAGGGAAGTCCGTTCGTACCTGTTTCGGGCTGGAGGCTGATGGGTGTGAGGAGAGGCATGTGCGGGCCGCCGGCGCTCACGCACCCCTCTCCCCGGAGCCGAGCGGGCAGCGTCTCCACCGCCTCCACGCCCCTCAGGGCCGCCCGTGGGGGGCGAGCGGGGGTTTCGGGAGCACGGGCTGCGTTGCAGGGCTCTCAGCGAGAGCACTAACACGTGAGCCGCGTGGTCCTAGGGACGCCTCTGCTTAGGCTCGGTCCGCCCGCCGCTGGCACGCACCTGTGGGTTCCAGAGCCTCCGTGGCCGCACGGCCGCCCTCTGCCGGCGAGCGCGGCTGGCGCTGGCACTGGCGCTGGCACGCAGCGAGGGCCGGAGCCGCCGGTGCCAGGCCCGGACTGCGGCCGGGGATTCGGTGTGCGTTCCTGCTCAGAACCTGCCAGAGAACACTGCAGGCCACTGGCACAGAGTTACCTGTAAAAGCCTCTGGGCCCTTTTGCTGAACACGAAACAACAAGAGGCGAACGGGTAATAGAGCAGTGGTGTTCCTTCAACTAGGATTGAGGTGCAGAATGAGATACGTTAACAACTCAAGTTGGGAGTTAAACAGAATTTCCTGTAACAGGATTGGCTTGGGGATGTAAAGTTGCTCAGCTGACAGAACGCCACGTTCCCCACTTGTGGTCAAGACGGGGCGGGGGCCCCCTGCTGGGGCTGCAGTCGCTCCCCGGTGCCCGGACCTCGCTGCCTCTGCTGTTCCCCCGCCAGGAAAGGCGCGCACTTGCAAGTCTGGTCGGCTCCGCTGTGTTGCCACCGTCAAGACGGCGTCCCTTCTGGAGATTCCGCCCTCTCCTTTTAAGAAATGAAGTTATTCAGTCTTTGTGTACTGGGCAATTTTTTTCCCTAAAAAGTATTATTTGAATCAAGAACATTAAATATTGATGAAGCTATCGATGCTGCATTTAAAGTCTGAGAGAATTACTTTGGATAAGAATGATTACCTTCATTCTGGAAAGGTTTGTTTTTGCCTCAGAGCATTTTGACGAGTAAGGGTCCAATACATTGTGTTTATGAAATCAGCATTTTGAGTTCAGTGGTGGCAGGTGTCCTGACCACCGCAGCCAAGCACAGACGTTCCCGCCCATGGTCATCCCCGCGACAAACGTGAAGAAAAGTTCTTTACGCTGAGAGACGGAAACCACATAGTTAAGCAAAACACATACGTGCTTTTTAACATCTGTTTTGAAGTCTGTTTCTTACCAATAAACTTAACTGCATTTGGAAAATTAGTAAACAGTTCGCAGCTTTCCTTTCCTTTTCATATCTTAAAATTCAAACCAGTGTGAAATGATTTCTAAGGGAGATTCATTTTTGCTTATTCTTTAATCTTAGTAGTCTCATTACTTCGTTGTAGCAGCAATATTTTTTTCCAGTCTGGTTCTGCGGTCCAGCAGCGGCCTCCACCTACTTTCAAAGTACGGATTTTCACGCAGAATCAGAACAAGGAAGTATCAAATCACTTGCCTTTCCATGGAGAAGAGGAGAAGGGGACGGGGGAGGGCTGGGCCTCGGGAGAGGCCACCCGGCGCCCCCCCGTCCTCGGCTGCAGCAGCCGCGCCCTGCTCAGGCCTTCCCGCGGGTCCAGAGTCCCCGAAGCAGTTAACTCGCTCGTCGCCGTGCGCCAGTGCCACCGAGAGGGCTCAGGGACAAATGTGGGCCCGCAAGTCCAGCCCTGCCGGGCGCCCGTGGCCTTGCGCCACCACCTGCGAGGGCAGACGGTCCTCTGGGCCATCGGGGGAGAGTCGCTCCTCCTGAGGGCCCGATGGCCGAGGTCATCATGCGGGACTGGGAAGGCACTTTTGGGGCTCCTTGCACGTGCCACTCTCCAGGCTCTTGTCTCCGGGGCCCGCAGGTGCCCGGTCACCATGAAGGCTCTTTCTGGAAAAGTAAAACCAGAGGGGTGCCGAGCCTTAGCTGTATTAAACCCCTCCCTCCCTCCTCAGTAAGCTCGGACACCAGGTCTCACTTGTCTGTGCACCGTGGACGCCTCGCCTGCCACAGCAGCCCAGAAACGTGAGAAGGTTCCTAAAAGAGAATAAACTCATTTAATGCCCAGTGTTGAAAGTGCGCTTTCTTACCAAGGATAAACGGAAGAGAACAACTTCAGTCGTTTACTGTGAATTGGATGAACGTCATGCTAACTGTAAAAGGTCTTCAGTCAGTGTTAAAAATGTGTTTTAAATATCATTGTGAAAGCAGAACTTTCAGGAACTTTGATAATTGAATGTAAAAACTACCTTTTTTTTTTTTTTTAAAGAGAAAAACACTGATAACCTAGTAGGAAAAAAGTTCATAGAATCACAATTTGAAATTGGCAATATTTCCTGTTCGTGGTGGAAAACAAAAGGTTGCACCTTTGAAGGCATGAAGTTGGTCAGCAGTTCTGACATTTACCATGAAAAAAAATGCAGAAGAGACTTCCATTAAACACGGTTCCTCAGTCAGGTTGCGTCCGAGCCGCCTGCCTTAACGCCCGGGGCACCGGGACGGGCCCTGCAGACATTTTCAGAGCCCGCGTCAGTGGTGGCCCCTAGGGACGTGCCCACAGCCTCGTGGACACAGTGGACTTGTCTGTGTTCGTAACGGCAGGAGGGAGGCCTGCCCATTTGTCCGCAAATACTACCCGTATTCTAACTCAGATCATTCCCTTTGTTAGCAGTCTATGCGGTGATTGCAAATGATGGAAATAGGTGGGGATAAGTTTTTTAACTGGATGATGTCATTTGCTGAATGATTTAAGAGTCAAATTAGCCACTGCGTGGCCTTGTGTATAGTAACAGGTTTGGTCGTGCTCCTCTGGCCCGCCCTCCTGCCCGCGGGGGAAGGAAGGAGCGCCGAGGAGGCAGATGCTGGAGATGGCTGAGAAGTCAAAGTATGACTCCTGCTGTAAGGCTGTGGTTGGCTTTGAGGGAGACAAGACGAAGGAACTTAATCCATCTCAAGTTAGTGTTTTAATAAAGAAGAAACTGAAAATTAATTGAAATGGGTCTCAGATATGTCTGCAAATATGGGTACTATTTTTAAGCCCATGTATTTTCACATTTAATAAAAATATTTATGGTCAAATCAGTATTTTCTTGCTTTCAGTTCATTTTTAGTCTTTTGGAGAAGCCCACCTTCCAGCTTTGCCTTCCACGTTGTCCTTGACCGGGTGAACAGTCCTTCTCCAAGTTGAGGTGAAGGACACTCAGAGCACAAAACAGAAATAGCTACTACTTACCCACCCCCCCCAGCCCCCCAAGAACAGTAGGCCTTACGGTGCAGTTCTTCAGTCTCAATACTATTAAAATCTGATACTTAAATTGGCTTTGTCTGAAGGCTTCTATGCTGTGATTGGCACATTTCTGTTAAAGTCGTAAAACGGGGTTTGCTTGGGGTGGGGGCAGTGCTGTCTCCTTCGGATTTCTAACCACAAATGCAAATAGCTTTCTTCTCAGTTACGTCTCCTGCATACGCTACAATTAAAAGACTAGAGCACTTATTTAGAACTTTCCAGATGGCTCAAAGTTCCCAGAGTCTTAACAATAATCCTGCTATCTCTGCAGTCTGTGAGCCGCCAGCCCTAGTCCGAAGATCATGAAAATATCAACAGGCCTGACGGCTGCCGGGAGAACAAGAGGAGGAAGGGAAGACCCACTTTCTCTTCCCGGGTCCTCGGGAGTGGTCTCAGTGTGAAAGACGCTCTCAAGAGAGCAAAGGCTAACTCTTCCAGCAGCTACATCCCACTGTCTCTTCTGAGGACTGTACAGAGTCTCCCTGTCACTGTTGCAGCGTTTGGTTCCTACGATATTTAGTGCCTTTTATTACCTCCAGGTACTAAGACCTCGTGAGAGTAGAAATTGTACAGCATCTCTTCCTCCTGGATGCGCTCTGCTTCTGTCCCCGTGCCGGGAGGGCCTCGTAAGACGTGGCCTTCACGCCGAGGGAGGCTTATTATGGGTGCTGCGCGCGGGAGAAAATGGCACGTGTCAAATCCCGAGAAGCCCGCCTGTCCTGGTCTCCACGAGCTGCCGCCCGCTAGGCCAAGGGCTGCGCAACGCTTGCGGTGAACAGGGCTGTCAGGAAGCCGCGCGGCCACCAAGTCCTCACCGAGCAGTCCCGGAGAAGCGGTCACGGAGGTCAGAGTCTGGCACTGCGTCTTAGGACCACAGCACGGAAGCTCTTCTGGTGGCTTACAACCCCCCCCCCCCGCCGGCCCTGGACGGCCCTGGGTCACCCCTTCTCCCTCCCAGCTGGCACCCGGCTCCCACCTCAAGGTTCACCCCGTGTCCCTGCCTTCCTGACACTTCCCTTCATAACGTGTTCATTTGGAGATTTACTGAATGCCGTTCGTTCGGTGCCGTTTGTCCTTCAAAAGGACACACAGTAGCTACTTACTTAAGTAGTTTGTTAGATTGGTTCAGGTTTCGGAGACTTCATATTTTGCCTTCCTCAGATGAAGCCTTTTAGAAACATTTTCTGGGGGCACCTGGGTGGCTCAGTCAGTTGGGTGTCCAACTTCGGTTCAGGTCATGAGCTCACAGTTTGTGAGTTCGAGCCCCGTGTCGTGGAGCCTGCTTCGGATTCTGTGTCTACCCCCTCTCTTCCCCCTCCCCCACTCACACTCTGTTTCCTTCTCTTTCAAAAATAAAATTAAAAAATTAAAAAAAAACAACAAACCATTTTCTGGTAGAAGCAGAGGCTACATGCCAGGGGTAGGTTTAGTGACTTCTGTATGAAAAAGGAGTTTGTGCTGCTCTGGATTAGGCTCCACTATACGACCAGTCGCGCTTACTTCAAAACTCCTCTCACTCAGCAAATGCGCTCTCTACCTTCTTCCCGATTTTAAATTAAACATGAGGTTGATCTTTGTCACTCAAATGTTTTGGTTTTGAACAGTCTTTTA